ATGTCGTCTGCAAAGCGGAGGTGATGTAGGAAGCGGCCGTCGACCTTCACTCCCAAGTCTTCCCATTCCAAATGACGCATGATATTCTCGAGGGCGGCACTGAAAAGTTTGGGCGAAATAGTATCGCCTTGCCGAACACCTCTCTTCACGTTGAAAATGACTTCCTTATAGAATGGTGAAATCCTGGTCGTGAAGCTGTCGTAGAGTTCACGAAGCATCCTTATATATTGCGTAGGAACACCCTGGTTGCCTAGAACTTCAATTACCGCTTCTGTCTCAACGGTGTCAAAGGCTTTCTTCAAGTCGATAAACGTAAGACATAGCGGCATTTTGTACTCTTGCGATACTTCAATGAGCCTTGTTAGGGTGTGGATATGATCGATTGTACTGAACCCTCTCCGAAACCCTGCTTGCTCGCATGGCTGTCCTTCATCTAATATTCTGCCAATCCTGTTTAGGAAGACACCAGTGAAAAGCTTGTAGATTACGGACACCAGGCAGACTGGGAGACAATTGCCAATATCGTCTGGATCTCCCTTTTTGTACAGCAACACAGTCTTGCTAGTTTTCCACGACGTGGGCACTTTGCATTCCGACAGGTACCGTGTGAAGAGCCTGGCCAGAGTTTTGATGATGACTTTGACCAGTAACAGACAAGTAATCTCTTATAAATTCTTTTCTTATTACTCTTTCAAAGCTTTGTGCTTCTCAAAATCGCCTATTTTCACGCTTTCTTCGCCATTTTGCCCCTAATCTGACCCGTAATTCCCATTATTTCACTCAAGACACCAGATTCACCGTGAATTGTGCTTCAAAATAGTCCGAAAATAACCCCGTGCCTAGACGAATTTACTTTAATTGTCATCAATCAACGGTACTACCTATATGTCCACGCTAGCGCTGTCTTCTGCAGCTGTCTCCTCGTATCACACTGCATCAAACAAAAACTGCTAATAGACTCGTCGATTTGGAGGCATATATTTCGGTTGAAGGCGTAATCATGGGCCATTCGGGCCTCACTCTGCTTCTCCTATGTAGTAGGTCACCCACAACACTAGCAGTGCACAATCGCTTTCATCGCCTGAGCAGGCAGTATTCCTTCCACGAGCACACTGATGGCCGCGCTCTCCATCCTTGGGTATCATTCATTCCAGAAAAACGTTCTCGGGAAGCCCTTTTTGCAATTTTGTGGAAATCATTCCATTATGTGCTTTTCTTGAAATTTGATTCACCTCATTCCCTCTTCTCTGGGCTGAAAACTTCCCGCTTCTCCGATTTCCTGGCAAGGTCACATACCACATGTGTAATTCTACTGTCTCCCATTTCTCTCACATAACAGCCCATTCCTCCATTCCACACTCGTTCACCCCTGGAAATCTACCGACCACCTTCCCAGCCCTTCCTAAGCCACGGATTAAAAACTTTCGACTTTTTGCAATTCTACAGCATATGAGCCCAGTTCTCAGTTTCGTGTCAGATTTCTCAGTCATTCGTTAGACACACACCAGCTGGCTTCTTCAGTGTTTTTCTTGCGATCATTGTAACAGCTGCGCTGCTGATCACAGTCATTATAAGATTCCAACGAAGCACATTCGAGGTTTGCAATAACCCTCCGAGTCTTGAGCTTTGCATGTGCTTCCTTTTGCTGAGCCACGCTAACACTAGTCTATTTCTATCTCAAGTTTCTCTCACTGAAATTGATCCTTGATGATTTTCTTTGGCGTGTGCCGATCGTGTTTTGCCTATCCCACGATTAAAGTTAAGAAAACTTATCAGTAGCTGTTGAAAATAACTAATGAAAAGTTCCAAATCATATTAGCAGGCAGAGGTGGTGAAGTTGCAAGTGGAGCACTAACGCACACAACGCATGGTCACGGGTTCGAATCCTTTCGCTTGAGCCAACAAGCCTTCCCATCCCTCCGAATCGGCTAACTGATACCAAACTTTGGCAGGATGAAAGCACTGACTTGTACATTGGCTGGCTATGCTAGGTGGGAGAGGGGGGCGGTGGCATCCCATAGAAGGGGTTGATCCCGCTAAACCCTTATCCTTTGTATTTTGCTGCATACTTTTTGTTTGTTTCCATGACTGGGGCTATCCTACGTGGTCTGAGTCGTGAAAAGGCGATTTCATCTTTAGACTGGTTTTCACAATGCTTGATTAAGTAAGTATCAAGATAAAGCCACACACAAAGAACCAATTTGCTTTTTTAAGAAAATAAGTCTCTGTGAACCGCAGGTCTGCTCCCTACTCGCTCCTGGTCCTTAACACTATTGTTTTCTCGTTCACAAAGCTATTTGAACGGTTGAAACAATCAGTAAGGGAAAGTAGGGTAAGGTGGGGATGGCATACTCCACCCTCAACCATGCTTCCTACGAGGATCATTCTTAACATCATTCACTGGAGCAAAATTCCTTTAAAAGAACCAAAAAATTGGGAAGAGTTATCGACAAAGCTGCTTTCTTTTTGGCCGAACACTTCTCCTCTTCACAACTTTTCAGATTTCAGAATCTTCGATGATCTTGAGATTCATCAGATATCTAGCAAATCTCTGCTTCCTAGTGACCTTCGCAATTTCTGTGTGTAATGTTTTTTGTTTTCCGTTTTTACGTCTTTTGCCACCATATCTCCGTTCACACATCTTCATTCCTCTGCCAGCTGCACTGCTCACCTTCGTTCATCTACAAAGGATGCTGCTCCTCTTTGTTCCTGTACTTGATCTTCCATTTAGGCACCTCCCAAAGACTATTCCACGTTGTTTTTACCTAACCTTTCGAAATTATATTGTTGTCTGGTTGGTCATCAACCTTTTTCGTGCTAGTAGACCCAATTAAGCTGGTCTCCAGGAAACTTCCACATTCATCTTACTTTGTTTTTATCAATTAAGTTGACCGACTATTACCTACCCCCGGTTAGGTTACGAACACGATGCACAATTGTTTCAACATTACTGATGATCACCCTACGGCTCATCCCCATATCTTTCTATTTAAACAAAACACCCACGGGGAAAAAACCCATGTGTAAAAATCCCTACGACTTTGGGGAGGGGGAGTGGGATCGTGTTGACCTTGGGGGTTTTATTGATGCCTGCACTTTCTCTTTGGGTTACCTACTTCTGTGACTTCAGTATATATAGTAAAATATGATCGATTCTAAAGAAAGGAATGTTGATTTCACTCTGTACATGGCTAATTATGGGCAGAGGTGATTTAGGGGCAAGGGAAACACGCAAACACACGCTGCAGGTTTGCGGATTGCATTCCTAAATAATAACAGCTAAGGAAACCAGGTTTTCCTTCTTTCCGTGTTCTCTCAGTTGGTAAGGAGCTTGTCCGGGAGGAGAAAACACTAAATTTTACATCGGCTAGCCACTGCAATCCATTATGTAGGCCACATGTATGTACATTCAGAACGCGGCTATGTTCCTGGGACGAAGTCAGAAACGGGATTGAATAACTGCTTAAAAACTTCGTCCTTTTGGAATCTCTTGGATTTTCGGGGTTTCTAAAGACTGGATTGCGGCTAAGTGCTTCAACGGTCAAGCAAGTAAATCTGGAAATCTGGAAATTCGGAAGAATATCATCAGTTCTTTCTATAGGTTCATGACATTACATATGTAGCATCGAACATCTGGAGTCATTATGCGTCATGCACTCTCCGCCATGTTCTTTTCCCCTTTTCCTTTGTATTCACATGGCCAACCCGCTGTTTCAGAATGTGGCAATCACCAGTGTTGGTCTTGTTGACGATGTCAGCCTGTTTCGCCTATCCGGCATCCGGTGGCCTGGATGTGGAAAACCTTAGCGCTGGTGGCAAGAAATTCTTCATGGACGTAAGCCCCATTGATGATTTCTATCGCATTAAAAATTGCTTGGATTAGAACCAAAAAGACCATTTCAGATGACCAAGCAGGTGATGGGAGTGCCTTCGTTGAAACCGGAAAATCTTGCTGCTCAAACATTTTTCCGCAGTTTCCTCGACAAATATACAAAATTAGATGATAATGTAAGTCTACAAGTTCAACACTTTGCTTTTTTCTAGTGAAATGTGTGTTTCCCAGTTTGACAGCTGTTGAGCACGTGGTTCCCCTAGGTAAACACAAACCGACAAAATACAAATTTGCCCTCAGTAAAGCAATCTTAAACAACAGCTGCTCAATCGGGGTCCCAGACACTACAACTCATCAGAAAATTCAACAAATCGATCACCGGAACTACTCAAAATTTTCCGATTTATAACGGAGCTATTGAATATTTTTGCATTGAGCTCAGTGGTGTGTAACGGGCGTGTTCAGTCTCCAAGTTATTCGAGGAATCTGGTAGTGGATGCCTGCAACAGCGGATTAAGTACTATGTACTAGGCCATAGACACGCCAATCCCCTATATCGCCAATGTTAAAGCAAATATTTTTTGGGTGCGATCTAATTGTAGATTTTTATGGAGAAAAAAGAGAAGCCTTTATCATTGCCCTTCAAGTTCCGCTGTATATATTGCCTATGTAATCAATGGAGGGTGAGGCTGAGATATCAGGGACTTGCGTTGTGCTTTACGAATTAGTGTGAAAGGAGCCTCTCTCAATACATCAGGCTTCCCTCCATAGTGAATTCAATGAGTCCAGGTACTAGATGAATGGTCTGTTGAAGTCTTCTGGCGTGAATCAATCCCGTATAAGGAATATGCCCCACATTCGACTTTCATTTCGGAATGGGGGTCGTGTTTTGATGTATACGCGAACTGTACGATGAATTACACTTGCCAGTTCGGTGCTTTCATCCCCACACGAGTTTGGTACCCAATCACTCATCCCCACACGAGTTTGGTACCCAATCACCTATCCCGGAGAGGAGTAAGGCTCGATTGGGCTGGGCGAGTATCTATCCTGAATTCGATCCACGGATCATCCTGTAATAGTAACTTGCTGCTTGCTACTATACCACCTTCGTCCACCTAGCTCCACGCGTCGCATGCACTCGAATGCTGGTCCGATTCTGAATGAGAGCCGAATGCATGGCGGGTCTCGGAAGAGGCTCTACGTGCGAAATTTTCACTGCAATGCCACCATAGAACTGTAGGGCGTTCTCTTCGGTTTACGATAGTCTCCCAACTACAACAAGAAAAATTTCAAAAAAAATCCGAATGTGAAAAACCGGAACAATTTTTACTTCCTCTGTGCTTTTGGAAATTTTTAATCGTTTTTTCTAATTTAAATTATTCTTCTCATTTTAGATCAAGAGAGATATGGAACAACACATACCAACTGCCACAAAAATCTTTAATCAAGCAGGTACGATCTGAAATGAGTTCCATGAAATTGAAAAGTAAAGTGGCCCTGAAGGTTAGACTGAAGTTCTGCTTTGGGCAAACTTAATTAGCTCCAAGATTGTGGGCCTTTGGAGTTTGGATAGTTACGTATCTCCAGATGAATAGATAACTAAAGATATGCTCACAAACAATGTGTTTGATGGTTATATGAATCGCAGGCAACTATGAAAGAATGAAATGCTGAGACTGTGATAGTAGATTCTCACGGGTGTGGTAATTAATCCCCGAAAATCGCGTCTCGCTCGCCGCGCCGTGGAGGCGAAGGTCTGAATTCTCAGTGGAAGGGCACGGTAGCCGCCGCAGAACTCTTGTCGCTTGCCGTGGGAAATCGTTGCGAAGAACCGCGCCCGATTCTTACATTTCACGAGTGACCCCGTCAATATTATCTTCGGATTATTCGTATTTTTACATCTTCCTTTTCAGCAAAAAAGTACAACGTCGATCCTCATCAGGCCTTCCAGATTCTGTCCACATTCTTCGAAAACTTCAAGAAAGGCGCCAGTGGTAATGTTGCACAGCAAGGCCTAAAGATGGCTGGAAAGCTATTCGGAAAGAAAGGAAACTAAACTACCAGCGCTTTTAATTATTTGTTTGTAAACGCACAATAATAGTGACACACGATTATTTTCACAATAAACCATTTCGAATTTGCACAATGTTTACTATTGTTCTATCCCGGTGCCCCTATACCTACCTACGCCTTCCATATATAACGTTCGAATTCTCGAGGAGAACTAGTGCCACAAAAGTTAGAAACAACCATTTGGCTGCTCCACAGCGGATACTGCATAACCTCGATTGCTACAAAGGCTCCTTTACCGTTTTGATTTGAAAGTAAAGGTCCATTTCAGATTGGACCGATAGACAGCGATGACATTTGCTTGGTTGTTTATGAATACACTAGGTATGGTGCTATTGTGTTGCTGTGGTGGTATTTACCACAACTGTTATTTTATTTGTGGTGGTATACAACCCGTACTTACAATCACTCTCATCGCCAGTGATGATATCGCAAATCTCGAGCTTCGTCAAAAACTTCAGGGGTTTTCTTATGGCTTCATTAGTTTTTCGTTAGTCCCATATTCGAATTTTGAGTTCACATTGAAAAATGAAAAGATAAAGCCTTTGGGCTCCAATAAGTCCCGTCGCAGGAGAGCGCCCAAGCATTCGGCTTCCATACAGAATTGTAGTGACATATCGAATGCGTATGTGGCCTACATAATGACTTCTGGTGGCCAACCCATGTACAACTCACCGCTTTTATCCTCCCAGACTAGTCTAGTACAAGTTAGTCGACCCCGGAGGGATGGAAGGACTGGTTGGTCTAGGTGGATACCCGTGACTATGCGTGTATGATAGCTTGCCACTTGCCACTGCCCTACCACCGCTCAAAGTTTATATTACAACCATGAACATTAGACACACTCCCGAAATTAAGGTTTCAGTTCTTAGTATCATCTCCAGTATATTCAAAACCAAGTAGGCGAATGTGAGGCGAGATGCCGAGCGCAAAAACAAGAGAGCCCATCCCGAGACCTTCTTCAGTATCAATTTCTATTGCCTCTTGGATGCAGTTGCTGACCTTCAGCTCATTAATGTTTGTTCTTTTCTTCCAACCAACTACTGCTATGAAGAATTTCCAGGCGTAGTACAACCTAAAGGTGTGGTGGAGGTGGTTTAAGAAGAAGTTGGCGTACACTACTTACAGTTCGGGAATCGAATGCCAAAAACATTAATTATTCTGTAAAAATTTCTTTTTCTTTTCTAATTTTCTGGATTATCTGTGTTGTGTATTTCTGTATAGTTTCCCTACTTAGTTTGGCGCATCTTGTATGCAAAAAAATAAATAAATAAATAAAAATTCACTTCATGCACAACCACGTAATATGAGAACTCCCTCAGTTACATAGGTAACATTTTGCCTGTTAAACTTTTCAAGGAACGAACCTACGTAAAGGTGTAGATAATGAGAAAAGAAAGAAATAAGGAGTGGGGATCAGTTTGATGGGCGAGAGCGTCAGTGTCAAGGAGTTAACAAAACACTTGGATTTTGAATGGAATGTAGTCAAATCCCATAATTTTCTTCAAAATTTTATGCAGGAATTATAAAACACCAAAAGTTCAAGCTGAGAGAAATTCCTGCAAAGAAATGGCTGTTGAGAAAATAATGTGTCCAGGATACGACCGGTTTTGATCTCCTTAACTTCGAGGCAGATTTGTACAAAATGTAAACTTTCTTTTGGAGTGGAATTCCTTAGGAAAAGGATACCTGTAACGAAGCAAAAACTCAGATTGTCTATGGTATTGTATCTTTACTTCTTTCTCAGGGGTTCAGTGTAAGCCTCGACAAGAAGGTGCATTTCACGTTTTGGCTTTTTGGGTAGAAAAGTTGCAGTTCAACCTTTTTAAGACTATACGATGAAATCCAAGTACTGCTTGTATGGCAAACATTTATAGACAGATTGGTTGGGCGTGACATTTCATTGGAGTCTGGAAAACGCTGAACCGAGACTTTTTTACCCAATGAGCTCAACACCTGAAATGCTGAACCTCCGAGAAGAAGGTATTTCATCACCCGTGCATCACATACGGTATGTCCTCTGGAAATCATTTGACACAGGCCGTTGCGCAACCTCGCCGGTCAACATTTCCTTTGCGTTTCATAAGTTCAGCACTGTTAGTCCAATCTTGCACCAATTCGGTACTTGCAGTGATCTTG